TTGAGTGAGTGAGTGAGTGAGTGAGTGAGTGTCGACCTGGGGTGCTCTCCGGCCTACGGAAACGGTCCCTCTCTCCTTCTTTGCCCCTCCGCATGCGTCATCGGGGCTCCGGTGCAGAGTTCAACGCTCCGGGCGCCGCAATCCGAGCCTGGGATTTGGGGAGGGATGTGCCACCCGAACCTCCATGGGCCCACCCTGAGGCTGACGGCATCCCCCCTCGACCAAAAGCGGTACGGACATTCAGACCGCTAGTTTTGAGAAACAGGGCGGCCACCTCAAGAAACTAGCACAACAATTTGGAAAAGAAGCCCAGACAAGTCAACATGGTCTGCACAGAGGCTTCCAGGCTCTGCGGCAGTAACGCCCACGTAGAATTCAGAGTTTCGGGGACAGCTTTGAGGTTCTGGGGTTTGGAAGCTGCACGTAGCGGCTTCTCAGGTGCTCGAACCAGGAGGCTTAGGAATGAGGGGCATCGGTCAACCATAGTATTCTGTTGGGGTTGGGGAATGCTTGTAATTGGGAATTGCCAATCAACATCGGTTTGGGATTTGTCAGCACCTAAGCCTTAGAAGGAGATGTTGTTTGGCAAACCCCATGTCCTAAAAGACAATTATGGTTGACCAACCAATCCTGGTCTTGCATGGTTTGGGGCTTGCCATCCTGCATCGGTTAGAGAGTCATCAACCATTATCTTCCGGGTTGGGGTTTGCCAACCGACATGTCCCTTGAAGGTCTGGAGTTTGCACTCCAACCATCGTCCTTTAGAGCTGGGATGGGTTGAGTATAGTATGTTTGTTATGTTTGGGTTCTTCAGGCAACATCTCCTTTGATGGTGAGAATCTGGGTGATTGACATGAAGATGGAACATGTGTGGTACAAAGGACAAAGATTTAAGATTTAGGGCTTTGTTGGTTTGGGATTTGGGACCGTTTGGGTCTAGGTTATTGGGGTGTTGCAAGTTTGGGCTTTACGGGCTTAGGGTTTCGGACTTGGTGGAATGGACAAGAACAGATTCAAAGCTCAGGATTCCCGGTCCAGGGTTTGAAAGTTGCAGGTCAGGTAGCTCTTCGGGATTCGAAACAGGCGCCGGTCTCAGGTTGGTGGTCGGCTTAGGGGAACGAATCGGATCCAGCACAGGCGTGAAGGTGCTGACACACAGCCGCGGATTGGCTCAAGAAAGCAGTTAATGTCTTCCATTTTGTCGAGGGTTTGGGTATTGCCAGCCAACATCTCCTTTTCAACATCCGGTCCAACATCACCTTCTAGAGGCTCTAGGGTTTGGGATTCGCCAACGAAGCCTGCGGCCAACCCTTCAGCATTTGGAGGTTTGCCAACCGATATATCCAGTTGGGCTTGACAGCCAATGTCTCGTTTTCAGACTTGGGATTTGGCAGCCAGTACGTTTGTCGTTAGGGTTTGGGGCTATACCAACGAACATCTCCGATTCAGGTTTCGGCTTTGAAACCAATTTCGGTTTGGAACGTGATGACCAACATCTGCGTTGATCCAACAAACGTGATCTCTCCCAGCCAACAGCGCCGCTTAAAGTTTGGAGGTTGCTAGCCAACATCTTCTTTCCGGGTGTGGGGCTTGCCAATCGAAATTTGCGAACCAGTATGTTCGTTGTTTAATATCTGGTTCGCCGCTTTCGACCAGCGTCTGTCAATAGTCATGCGGTCTTTATTTAGGGTTGAATTTTGTCAACCAACGTAGTGGGAAGAAGTTGAGCAATTGACTGGGAATATTGCCCGCCACCACAGGTATTTGGAGGTAAATAAATGGGTTTGGGTTTTGCAGGTTTGGCCGTTGGGGCTTCGCAGGTTTAGGAGGATTCAGGGTGTACAGCTCATCGGTTCAGGGTTTAGGGCGTCACAGGTCTAGGCCTTAAGGTCCAGGCCTTCATAGGTTTAGGGTTCAGGGCTTCATGGGTTTGGAGCTTGGGGCTTCGCAGGTTTAGGGTTTTGGGTGTTGCAGGCTTAGGGCCTAGGGCTGTTAGGATAGTATGACGTAATGTATGCTGTATGTTGTTAAAATCATAGCAACAAGCAGCACCACGGGTAGTACAACCATGCGCTTCGAGTCCCCGAACTGTTGCTGCATATTTCTTGAAGTGTCGTGAGTGTGTGGTTGAAGTGTTTCTCCTCGTTGCGCGAATCTCGGCGTTCGTTTCCTGCGAGAAATTCTTGCCTCTTTGAAAAGCGATGTCCGAACGTCGTCCAGCACTTCTCGAGTTTGGCACTTTCTTAGCACCCCATTCAGGGCTCTAGGCCTCAAGGATTCATAGGGTTGGCTTTTCTCCCAAGCATGAACCATAGGCGCTGCATGCCAAAGGTGGCTCAGCTATTCACATCACATACAATATCTCGATGTACTGGTTGCTTTGTTGAAAGAGGGTGTCCCTGTCAACATCAGGACCTGGGATGCTGGATGCCGATGAAGATCTATGAAAAGTGTGGAGCAGCTACATTCGCGGGGCAAAGGCTGAATCCGAGCAGGAACTCCAGCAACACTGGCCGCAAAGCGCTCTCGATGTGCTGCGCAGTCTACATCCACCTCAAGACCGCGAAACATCCTCTTGGCGAGTGCAGGCCAGTAAGGGTAAAGGAACTCTTCCGAGCCTGGTGTGGGCTGACAAAGCACCTGCAGAGCTTGCAGCGGTCCCTGCATCGAATCTGCGGGGCGCGAAAACAGGCCACGAAAAAAGCAAAAGCCCTGCTGCTGATTCTGCCGTAGTTCACGGAAAAGCCTCAAGCAAATGCTGGACTGTCACCCCCGCCGCGTGCAAGTCTCGTGCCAAGGGCAAAGCTATTCTCCGAGCGGATGCTGCCAAATGGGTCTGCAGCTGAGTCAGCTGAGCGAGGTTTCTTCTTGTCACACAAAGAGAGACAGGGAGGGAGAGAGCGAGAGGAAGGGACAGCTATGCTTCGGGTGGAAAACCTCAAAGCAGAGGTTGCGCCTTCTGCCTCCAGAATGACAAGCCCGTTACCCCTAACCTTGAACGCGTCGGAAGGAAGGTATGAAGTGGTTTTGTTCGAGAGCTGGAATTCCTACTGTAGGGACAGCATCGTGTCACCGGGGGCCTCGCTTGCTCCAGAGAGCGGGACCCAATGCAAGCAAACAAGACAGAGTGGTAGATTTCGTCCTTGGACCGGCAGAAAGAAAACTTTGCAGATTGGCTGTGTGCTCAGGCAGGCTCGGGGGACGCCTCGCGGAGATCGTGGCTGTAAGGAAAATGCTTGTCTTTACTGTTTTGTTGTGTGTCGCGTTGAGGGCTGATGCTACATGGATCGTGCTTGTAAGCGGGGCGGGCTCCCCTCCTCAAGCTTGACCAACGACGGAGAAAAAAAGCGATAAAGAGAGGTCTACGACAAGAAGAAGAAGAAGCTCAGAGGTAGAAAATGAGTATTCGTTGTGCACGCAAGTCTGCACGCATCAGGCCCACAGTGGCTCACTGCGAGGCCACCAGCCCTACCGGGTTATAGCACCGCTGCCGCCCTTGATCCCATGCCTTCAGGAGCTGGCCAAAGCCCAGTCGGTCGCAGGCCTCCCGGAGATGCACATCGAGTCGAGAAGAGCGGCAGTGCGCCAGGCTATGACCTGTTGCAAGCAAATTGCCAGCACTACGTCCAAGACTTCTGGAAGTTTGCGGTCTGACCCCCGGACATTGTTAGGCTCGACACAAGGCTGTCGACTATTCTAAGGGATGAGTCGAGTGCATCATCTGCCGTGTCGCCGAGGTCGGTCATGGTCTGGGCATGCCCAACCAGGCGCCACACCTGCCACGTCCCAAAAAGCTGGAAACTCCGAGACCCAACGGCGTGCTCTTTAGGACTTCCTGAATCTGTTCCAGGCCATGGCTCGCAAATGTTTGCTGTCAACGCTTCGCAACGTCCTTGCTGTGGCTGCAGATTTTTGGAACTCCTGCACACGGTGCGAAGATGCACGGCCCCCAAGCGTCCACATCGTCTCCCAAGAAGAGACATAGGAGGCAGTCATCCTGCTTCGCCGTTCCTAACATGAGAACAGATTCTGCCCTGCGACAACGAGCCTGTGTCCTCACGAACCACCGAGTCATGACCCTGGCATCTTGGGCAACGCGGGCTTCTCTCTCCGCTCAGCCTAAGTCTCGGGAGCGAGCGAGCATCCCGAAGCAGTGCAGGCTCGGTGATCTGCTTTGCCTCAGGCCGGAATTCCGAGGATAGTGCTCGACGGTGCACTGCTTGTGCGAGCCCCACGAAGCTTGGAAATGCAAACCGGACACGAGAGAGATGTCAGCTATGCCGAGAAACTGCCCGTGGTGCCATCGACTACGCCGAGCCAACTCGACCAGGAGGTGGTCGAGGCCAGGCGAGGTCAGGTCGGTCAGCATGGCCAGCGGCCACTCGGCTGGTTTGGGAGATGCTGAAGATGATTGCAGGATGCTTCCCCGGCAGAACGCACAACCACAGGCATGGAGTGAGGCTTTGCAAGACAATGTGTGTTCGTGCCCGTGCCAGGCAATGCTGAGAGTGCTGTGAGTCCGCGTGAGGGCACCTGGGTATGACGCGGCTCGCGGCTCCTTGGCCGCTGCTGCAGACTGACCTCGGTTGCCGGGTTGCCAAAGTCGCAGCGTTGCACCGTGGTTGCCAGAGCCAACGTGCTTTGAATAGCTTCGTCGTGGCTTTGAAAAAGCATGGACATTGACATGGCGATTGCCATGAAGCAGCTGTGTTTTTCAGAATCCCTTGCTCCCTGCAGGGGCTCCTGTGGTTGTGACCATCGCGGCCACGAATCGTTATCACTGCCTGGATGAGGCCTTGGTCAGGCGCCGCGGCTGGTGCGGGAACTCTAGGCCGTGTTATGCCGTGTTAGTAGGGCCAGCCTGGCGCAGCTTCGAAGGCCAGGCCGATTGGACCGCATTGTGATGGTGAACTTGCCCAACTACTCGGAGAGAGTGGTACTGATCTTACTTAGGACTTCGAGATGCGATCAGCTGTGATGGCATCCGTCGGCTGAGGCGACTTTGCAGATCCACGCGGCCAAGCTCAAAACAGAGGCAGTGGCCGATCTTCCTTTCAATACATTTCATTAGCTTCACTATTTGCATGCAACTACCTGACAGAACCTTGACGTGCAACTACTCGCACGACGGACAGAGGCGTGGAAGCTCTAGAGACAGTAGAGTATAGAGTACAGTTGCTCGGAAAGCCCAGTCGAGGGCATGAGCGGCGCCGACTTGGCCAACCTCCTGAACGAGGCGCTAGCCGGCGATCCGGGGAAAGCAGAGACTGGGTGACTCTACTAAACTATCTCTACCATACGACCTGTACGGCTGGCAGACTTCCGGCACAAGAGGGCCCGCCAGACAACTTCGCACTAGAGACCAAGACTAAGCTCCTAAGCTCACATGATCCCGGTGTTGCAGGCTGCATTACTTGCTGCGCGGCGGCGTGCCGACGCAGTCCGTGCGGTTCTTAATTGAGGGAGATTCAGAAAGGCCTCGCAAATCGCGAATATGTGTTGGAGCGCTCAGGCATGGAGCACATCTGGGCAGTGTTGGCAAACCCCAGGTCTGCGATTGCATGGTGGGGTCATGCCACGAAAGGGAGCCGCGGGCACGTCATTCGTGGCCAGGCCACAGCAAAATGCAGCAACGGCGGCAGCACCCGGCATCCCGACCCGAACCAGCCGTTGTTGCCTTCAAGCACAAGCTTGCAGGTCTAGTGAGTCTAGTTTTGAGGACTGAGGGCTTCTGCATCGCCTGCGACCGTAGGTTGGAACGATGACGCGGCTCAGCAGGGCACGGAGTCTCAGTCTGACTTGTACTCGTATCGGCTCGCATTCGAGTCCTTGGGGTTGGCCCCAGGTTTCGCTGCAACTCCTGAGTATGCCGAAGCCTCGACTGAAGCCGCAAAGTTCAGCAACTCTGCCTTCGTTTTGAAAGCGTAGAAGTATGTCTCTCCGGCAGGCGGCAAAGATGTTCGCCGCCTTTGCAACAGCTTTGGGAGCATCGAGAGGCGTGCAGTCATGGTGCGCAGTGCTTAAAATTGGAGCAGCAGTGGCGCAGATGTCCAGCACAGGCGGTGCAGAAAGCTCCCGGGATGCGGATAGTTTTGATTGAATTCACATGCCATATTTTCCAAACAGACGGCTAGCCCTCCCGGAGTTTCACATTTTGGGCAGCAGGAAGAAGCAGAATGGAGCAGTGGTGTGCAGAAAGTATGAGAAAGCCGAACAGTCAAGCCTCGAATCTTCTGTACACCTCCGCTCTTGCTCCTGCTTCGCCCTTTGTCTCACAGCGGATTTATTGGCCGTTCGAGCCAGTTGGAAGCTCGGTGTCTGAAACGAATATTGAGGGATTCGGGGATTACTGTCTAACGGCGCAGGTCAAGAGTAGAATTTTTTGAGTTTATTGTCGTCGTGCACACTGCACCGTGCTCCACGCTTGAAACTATGCGTGCAGATGACTGCCGACTCACACTGCACGAAACCTTGCATTGTCACAGAATACTGTCTACATGCTCGGCAGCCATTTACAGCTTATCCAAAGACAGGTGTCAGCTCAGAGCAATGCTTGCGATAAAGCGTTGTCAGGGGCTTTGGTTCGCGGGTACGGCAACTTCTGTAGATTGCCGTGATTACCATTGCAGATTGGAGCAGCCACATAACCGTCCCATAACCCCGAACAAGCTACTTGTAAGATCAGAGATCGATCAGCAGCTTTTGCGGCAGCTAATGCAGAGAAGAGCATGGAGACAACGCGAGCTGCGCGTGATGCTCGCGCCAAAGCATTGCTGGCTTCGCTGCGGCGATGTGACGAGGAGCTTCCCAGGCACATTGAAAGCTTGGCGCTCGGAGCCCATCGGAGCCCATGGCATAGGAGTCTGCGCTGCTACATCCGCCGCCACCCCAAGCAACGCCTTGCCCGCTCAATTGAGCTCGAGACGGGGTGTGCCGAGAGCCGCAGCGAACCACGTTCATAACATAACTACATATTTTGTTCATCCATCCGTCCATCTATCCGTCCATTAATCTATTCATGCATCCATTTGTTCATTCATCCATGCATCAGAAAGATCAAGCGATTCATTGATTCGTTCAACATCCGTGTGACCATTCATCCATCTAAGCATCACGCATTCATCCATTCATTCTAGGAGACTAGGGCCATTCCGCAGACCACACGCGAGTTTCGAGGCACGACAAGGGTACTGGCGGGATTCAGCCAGACGCATTCACCGAGAGGGTTGTGATTTCGAGGCCAGCATACGGCCGGTCTGTTGGAATTTGCAATGGATCGCGCTTCCCGAAGCATGCAGACACGCTGCATCCACTCTCTCTCTGTCGAGCGTTCGGTCCGCATGTACGATGTATCGCAGCCAGCACGCGCTTGTAATAATTTTAAAATAGCTCACAGCGATCGCAAAAAACACCCCGAGGGTTGTCATTTCGGGCCGCATGCACACACCTTGGAATTTACACTGGATCTCGCCAGGCCGAAACGATGAGCAGCAGTTCCCGCTAAGCCTGCTTTGCGAAGAAAGGATAGTGCAAAAGATGAGGATGGTATCAGAGTATTAATTAGACATCTGCATCAGCATCACATGCATGTCATCACTGTATCATCACATCATTCCATCCCAAACACCTCCACGGAAAGACCTTTCGCAACGAGTGGAGCGCGAACGCAGTGGCAGGCTGCTGGAGAGAAGAGAAGCGGCTCTCTTCGGACCAGGCTGGCAGAGCCGTCGCGCTTGAGAAGCTCAGCTCCAGCTGTAGACTCATAGAATGTGTCCCTATGCAGGTGATCCGATCTTGTGGGAGAAGGTCAAGCTCACCCCTGCCACTTCCACGCAAGGCAAGCCACCTCCTCCGGTTGACTGCATTGTTGTTCTTCCAATCTTTTCGATATGCACAGGAGACTTTACCGTGCTGATTGCAAGACCCTTGCACTTGGCCGGGCTCCTGGTGGAACAACTGGATTTGTTGTGCTTGCTTCAAACATTCCAAAATGCCTCCTGCATCAGTTGCTGCCGCAACTTACCACCGTCAAGGTTGTTGTGATGTTCGTCCCGTTATGGCTCTGAAACGTGTTATTCCGTCATCATCATCATCATTCATCACCAGAAATCATCGTCATCCTTGATGCGGTTTTGGGAGTTTGCCTGCGGGCTGCTTGTGAAAAAGGCCTTTGCGTAGACGAATCAGCGCTGGCTGTACTGCCAGCATACTTCAAGTCGTCAACAGTGAGGATCCGTGCTGACTTCAAAAAGATGCAGGGAAGTCCTCCGGAAAATAATGGAGGCTTTTCGTGATCTGTGCTGAAGGCCGAATGAGTGCGAGCTCGCCATGGCTCGCAGCTGTTACTGCTACTCATCGGATCATGACAAGTGGTGGCAGCTGGGCTCAGCAGCGGCTGCATGGAGTCAGTTTTTGCTTTGAGAGTCCCCAGCGGGCATAAAACGAATGGATCCATCTGAAAGCAGTAGGGCAAGTAGAAGAGAGCGAGAGCGAAAGGGTGGGCAGTGGCTTACCGGCCGGGGTGGTCGGCAGTGGTCCAGAAGTGAGGTTCCGAGGCAATCAATGCTGATTGCACCAGGAGTGGACGGTGCTTTGCAGAAAACACAGAGTGTGCTAGTGATTTGATTGGCCGTGTGCGTTGGTTTGTGGTTTTCCTGCTGCGAGGCTGGGAAGTTACCTGCTGCTTTGCTGATGCATGCAACTGGCAAGTGCAAGGTGTCAGACCCAGTGACAGTGGCAGAAACAGCTACATCACTTCCCAATGTTGTAGGGTTTACTTCCAACAGCAATGTGTGCCGAGGAGTTCATGGCGAACCGTTTGGAGCAATGGGCGCGAAAAGGCTTGATTGCGGTAGCCTTTGATGCCCCTTGGCATGGCGAGCGTGCACTTCCAGAAGCGGGACTCACCAAATCAAGCGATCAAAGCAATAGTGGCAGCGGCGCTCTCTCCCTGACAAGCTTGGGCCCAGAACTGCTTCGGACGCTACAACACCACGAAACTGCACGGTTGGACGTGTATTTCAAAGCTTTGATTGCTGGCTGGCGAACGGGATCTGATAGATTTGTCCTGGACATTTCACGCGATGCATTGACCGTTGTCGATTACCTGTGTGCCAGACCCGATGTATTGCCGGAGCGCATCGGTGCAGCAGGGGTGTCGCTGGGTGGGATGGCATGCTGGCTCTTGGCCGCCGCAGACACCAGAATACGCAGCGCCATGCCGGCAATCGGTGTGCAGTCCTTCAACCATTCTTTGAGAAATGGCTTATGGGGTGCCAGGGTCGACTCGATTCGACCAGCCTTTGAAGCGGCTGCTGCGGACTTGAAGAAGGCTTCGGTGGATGATGACGTGGTTGCAGCTGTTTGGTCGCGGCTGGCTCCTGGCATTGCCGAGGTGCGACGGGAGCAAGAGCAAGAGCCGCAGAAAGCAGCTTGTCGCACGCTCTTAACCTGTCTCCTTTCCTCAAAATCGATGCTTGACATGCGCATGTCGTGTCAGTGCCTTGCAGCGTCGGCCATCGCCGTGCAAGGATATGATGGGTGTCGTCAAGGAACCCGCGCATCCTGAATGCTACCGTTGTTATCATGAGGATCCGGCGTTGATGAAGCCTCGTAGGCAATGGCTGGTGGGGCGGCTGGCCATGGGCCATGCTGCAAAAGCACGGAATTCCGGCAGCTCTCGGGACAATCAGCACATTGAACATCCCCCACAGCACCGGCCCGGAACCTCACGGAACTCGAGCTTGCCCCAATCTGTCCAGAAGACCCCACAGCTTTAAAAAAACGGCCAACCATCCTCACGAGTCGGTGGACACATCAGGAAGCTTGTCCAGAAGCGTTCTGCCCTGCGGCGTGTCTAAGGGGTCCGAGCGAACAGGAACAGCTGTTGTTTTCAGGAGTACGGTGCCGAGCGCCTCCGTGACTGAGTTCCTGTGAAAGTGTCTGCCAGGTCGATCCCAGTAACCGCCTTGCCTTTGACGCGTCCGCCTGGCATGTGCATGCGCCAGACCGAGCTCTCAGAACCTTGGAGAGAAAGCTGGCGTCGGTGTGGACACGAAGGAAGTCTTTCTCTGCAGTATTGTCGCAGCTAGAAACTCAGGCTCCAGGGCTTTTCCCAAAGTGGGCTTGCTAAAAGGGATTACTGATGCCGTAGCCACTGCGTGTCTCGTCTCGTCGGATCCTTCGGCCTTCTGCCGCCAGGCCGCTGACGCTTCCATGCATTGCGCCTCGCTTTCTACTGGTTCTCAACGGTGAGAAGGAGCCTTTTCTGGGTTTTCTGCAGTTGTAGCTTTCTCTCTCTCTCTCGCTCCCTCTCGGCACGGCTGATGAGGACCCGCGCTGCCCTTTGGAAGGGATGCAGAAATGCATCGAAGCAGCCAAGCAGGCACAACATCCGAGGCTTTTTCTCTGAGCCACATGCTTCTCCTTTCGCTAGGCATATGAGCAAGAGGGGCAGCCGGAACATCTGAAGATCTTTATTGAGAAGGACGCCCAAGAGTTGCGGCTGCATCAGCCTCTTGTGTCGCAGACCGCTGCGAAGGATGTTGAGCATAACATGACAGCGACGATGTGGCAGAAGATCGAAACTTTTCTGGAGGCAATCGAAAGCTGCATTTGCCATGGTTGTCCAATCTTCGTGCCGCCCTAGGTGTCATTGGGATTGCCTACCACGTCCAAGCTTTAGCGGCCCACTCAGCACATTTGCAACGAGTCTTGCCACAGTTTTTCTAGACGAGTTTTGCGAAACGCATGTTTGTGCCCTGAGTCCAGAGCTTTGCGGGATTCCGGTACACAGCGTCCGATGCCCAAAGTTGCGGCTGAGAAAGACCACTAGATGCGAAGACTCGTCGCAGCGTACGCTGTAGTCAGTCGAACGACCTTAGTTCCGGCAGGCAGAATTCAGAATCTGGTAAAGCATTTACAGCTTGAGCATGTCTTGCATTCCAGAATACACAGGGCTGGCTTTGTGGGGCCCATCGAATATGTAGATATGCAAGATTGTGCGCTTGCAAGCGGAGAGCGAGAAGCGAAGTCAGGTGTTGTGCGTTGAGATCCTGAAGCGACTCCAGCCGTACTGCTGGTGCTGCATTGCGCCAGCCCTATCTGTGCAAGACCAGGGGTGCGTTGCTGGTCCGTTCTGTCCTTCAGTCTGGCTTTGCAAGTCTTTCGCTACTTAGGCAGACAGCGCGACAGAAAACGAAAAATGTGAAGTGCGGTGCTACTGTGATGTGCGTGGCTGTGAACAGCTCCATCCTTCATGGTGGGCTGGCAGTTTATGGCTGAAACGCATAGGCATAAAGTCATAGAGCACACCGCTCAAGGAGAACGAGCAACCGAAGACTCTCTCAGACGCCCGCCATTGAAAGTGCCGAAGAATCTAAACTGACCACAGAGCAAGCAGACTTGTTCAGTTCAGGTGTTTGTGTCCCCCCCACCCCTATGCTTGTAGCTGCATCCCAGCAACAGTAATAGAAGAAGATGCATCTGCATGGTCACTGAGCATAGACCATGGTTAAAGATGCCTGGCCAGCGACCCAGACAAGTGGCCTTTGACGATCACCTAAGAGCATACGCCAGCTTGTCGCATGCAAACGCAGCAGCATCGCAGGTCGGCAGACCCTGGCGGCTCCTTGGCATGTCAAAGTGCACAGGTGCATGAAGAAGAGCACGATGAGTTGCGATGGGACACTGTCGCCACGCTTGGGGCAGAGCAACCATGTCTTGCGCGGTTTAGCACTTGCGAGGCTATGGACATTCCGGCGGGGACTTGCGCTTCTTCTCACGGAGTTACGATCCGCAGCAAGAGCCGCGTGGCTCGTACGGCGGACTAAAGCGTTGAAAGGGAGGGACGACTGTCATTCTCAGGCTGAGTCCGGAGGAAGAGCCTCAAGTTCAAGTGCACGAAGACGGCGGCAAGCCTACTTACACTGGCCGAAGTTGCCCCTTCAGGGCCTGAGCACCGAGGCTTTCCTCTGCGCATCAAGCTTGAGCAGAAGCAAGTGCCACCTTCTGTGCTTATGGGCAAGTGCAGGCCGGCAGAGAGTCGCGACATGTCGTGAGGTCGTCATGAAATGTGCTGAGGCGAAGCCCGCTTACCGGCGAAGTGATCCTGCCAGGGCCCCAGGGCCCCCGGTTCCGGACTCAGAGTAAACGGAGCCTCCCTAACAAGGCACGTGGACCCCTCCTATCCCGACTTCCAGGCTCGTGCAGAGCGGAGCGGAGCGAAAGGGCCTTCGCCTAGTCTGCGAGGTGGTGGATCTCGCTGGCCGTGCTTGGCTGCCCAAGAGCCGGAGCTTGCCTCAGCGACAGAAGAGTGCGCTATGCTGCACATGCAGAAGATGCCGCGGATCTCATGCGCCAGAATTGAGTTGCAGCAAGGACTTACCTGGAAGAGGACGAGTATCTTTTTCGACCTGTTCCTCTCATGCACCCGACCTGCAACTGACAGCGGCTTTTTGCAGACTTGGCGATTCGCGTGGGCAGGTACAGAACTTGGCTGTACCAGTCTTTCTTCCTTCGTCCGAGCGGACTTGGCAGCACCGCGGCCTTGTTAGAATCCTTTCTGATGCCACTGCTACAGTTGCCACCGCCGAGTTGACTTGTGATGACTTGATCTGGAGACATTCCAGGTATTCAGATGCCAATGCACCGCAGCAGAGTAGGTGATTTTCGACGAGCGGAACGTTGTGGCCAGTTAAGGTTAAGAATCCAGAAAGGATTGCAGCACTTGCTCCAACCAGATGTTGGTGATACGCCTAGCAGTAAGATGTAACAATGTAAGCTGTTCGACATACACCTAATTAGGCGTGGGTTCCATTTGAGTCGCCCTTTTTGCACCGTCATCTTTCGAAGCAGAGCGAGCCAGCCTTTCCTGTGACATGGTTATGTAAATAAAACGAGTTGTGCAGAGGCTGTGATGGGATTAACGAGCCAGAAAATCTATCATCCTTGCCAGAAGCAAACGATTTGGACTACGTCGTGAGACAGGCAGGTGTTCATTCTGCTTGATTGGCCCTTCAATGGTCAGAGAAGCTGAACATTCTCGAGCATTCGGCAAAGTGCTGAGTTTGACTCTCAGGCGTTGTCAGCCTTCTGCTTGGATATCATGTCTGAAGCCTCAGAAGGGGAATTCTGCTCCTTTCTCATGAGTCGGCTGCCGAACACCATTATCTGCTCAGAGCAACGGGTTACACACTAGCATCTGTCCAACGGGACATGCAGTGTGGAAGTCTGGTTTTAGGGTTCAGCCGCACGGAAAACGTTGGCTCCACCGCAGCGGCTCTCGATTGTCTTTGTAAGCGGCACGCCATGGAGCAGCCTTAGAGGACTGGTCTCCGCCAGGATTGCCTGGATTCCCGAGCACGCCCCCCCAGGCCCACGGTCTTGTTCGGACATCTCTTTGATGCCGAGCTTTCGTGGCACAATCCTCGCTCTTGCTTCCAAGCTCATACGGCACAAGAGCCCGTGTTTGAGCAGTGGTTTGGTCTTGCATCAAAGAGATGTCCGAACAGGACCGAGCTGATGTGTCCATGCTCTCCTAAACTCCTAAACATCCGGTCAGCATGCCATGGTGAAGCAAGCATGTGGCACAGGCACTCGCCAGCTTCAGTGGGTTTGTCCACCGTGTATGCTGTCGGAGTGCAAAGCTGCCGGAACCGACTTAGGCAAGGTTGAAGGAGTCAGTCGAGAAGCGGAGGGAGGCGAGTGGGATCACTCAGAAATGGAAGAAGCTGAAAGGCCTTCTTCTAGAGGTTCTGTGCCTACAGAGCCCTTTCAAAAGAGTGGGATGACACAAGGGAGTTTTGAGTGGCATGATCACCAAGATCAATGCACGCGCAAGCCTCCGCACCAGGTGACACGTGAAAACAAGCGTTTGAGCATGCATCAGGTCTGCCAGGACTTTCGTGGCATAGCTGCTGCCTAAGGATCTGGGATAACAGATGGTCGCCGGTCATGGCGTATGCTCTGGGCTTGTGTGTCCTTTGTATTTGTATGTGTGTGCGTGTGTGTTGAAGCACGGAGGGAGTCGCTCCGATTTGTTTGGAGTCTACATTGAGGCCTTTATCATGTTTCTTTCTTCGCTGACTCTGGACAGCACGATTGCACGGAGCCTAGCACGCCATGCCGGCTGGCGGCCTGGAACAGCTTGTCGGGAACTCCAGGGAACAGCACGATGCAATGCAGCTCAAGTGAAAGGACGTCGTGAGTCGGACTAGTAACTAGTATTCCGAACAGTATTCCGGACCGAGATCGCCCTCTCTTGCGGTCTTGGGCTGCTCACGTGCGCGTGTGCCGTGGCATGCAACCACGCGAAGGCTGCGCCCTCAGTTCAGGGTGGACAAGTTCATCACATGCAAGTTTGAACAACTTGCCAGATCTACCAAAGAGAACGATGGGTGTCACTGTCCCGCCCTCACTTTGCTCACAAGAAAGGCCGAAGATGCCACGTCAGCTGAGGCCCTTTCGATTTGCTTTCCTTTGCTACATCCTCATCGCGTTCCCGTCAGCCACCGTGCTCGAGGCGAGCTCAGCTGCGCCCAGCGCGTGGCCGCCTTTTTCCGCCATGAGGTGATTGGCTCTACGCTGCTCTTCGTGCTTGCAGGGGCCTTGAGACTCTTCTCTCCGAGCCCGAGGGTTTCTCTCCGCGCCATAGGTCTCCGTGGAGATCATTCTCGGAGACTGCTTTTTCTTCCCCTCATACAGGCGACAGCGGCGACATCGAGGCTTTTGCAATTCCTCTCCAAGCTGAGCTGCAGAGGTTTCATTGCAGCTACCGGATCTTGCGGTCTCTGGGATGTCGTGTCTACGCGCCTTGGCCGGACAGGGGGAAGAGACAGTCGCTTCTGTCTGACCCTGCAGAGTATCAGGTCGACTTGGGAAAACTTGTGGCGCAGTAGCACTACCCTCCTTTCTCTCGCAGATTAAGCGGCTGAGGGCAGATATTGATCGCCCGCTCGCGGTATGAAGGTGGCAGGTTGTATTGCTTTTCGCAACTTGCTTGACAAGCCTAGCTTCTCCTTCTACTTGTAATGTTTATGAAAAGGGGAGCTCCATAAACTTTCTGAGCACGCTCGCAGCTGCGCGGTCGGGAGCAATTCTCTGTTTGCTTCAGATGTTCGGCCGGCCTCGACCGTAGAATCGGTTCAATGAGTGGGTTCAGCGGTAACGGTTGACACTCGGCGGGGGCAAGCAAAGCTGTGCGTCCAGGTTTGCGAACGAGAGGGCGCTGTCGGCATGCCGGCGGTCGTCGGCAGGACGCCCGATAGCCCGAAGCTTACCAGCAAGTGCTTGAACTAGAATATCGTGGGTTGATTTCGTGAGTTACATTCTGCTCCTTGCGTTGATGGATGTTGCACCACAGAAATGCCACATCGCATCGTGCAGCTTCCCAAGTGGACAACGCTTCGGCCTCGGTGCACGATATGTTCAAGCCTGGATGCAGCGTGCAGCGTGCCACGCGGCGGCTACAGAAGGCAGAACCACCTCATTGTTGAGCTCGAGGGACTTATGGTGGCATCTCTGCCATGCTTTTTCACAGCTGCAGAGCATATAATTCGCCCGTTGTCAACTCACCAGAACCTCAGGGGCTCGGCATCTGTCTGTACAAGATTCATATCTGCATCGTGGTTCTGGCATGGCTAAGTCGGCTAAGTAGTTACGATGATTGGACGCGGAAAGCACAGACATGTTTCGCGCAAGTGGCTTTAGACCGTTCTGTTTTGCGAAAGACAAGAAAATGCTAAACATGTTCTCAAGCGTGCTTCTTAGTGCCTCGCCAGGAGCTGCGACCGATGCGAAAGGAGGACTGGAGCAAAGCTGCGCAGGCAGGAGCAGATCCTTTTAACGAGAGACAAGCACAAACACTGCTAAAGAACCACAATGGCAGGACCTAACACTGGGATCACATTTGGGATGATTATCACTCTAAGCTGTTTGATCCTCTAGATACCGGCATTTTGTCTAAGGTTCACACGTTCTGCGTTCCGGATGACGGTTCTTTACCGTTTCTAGTGGCGGTAGATACTAGCAGCGCAGTATGCAATACATGCATCCGCAAGGAATCTGAATATCTACTGTAAATGGAAGGCTGCAAGGCCCTCGTGCCTGCTGCGAACACATTCAGCAATCTCTGGGCGCGATCGCGACGGACATGGAGTCCACCCGAAACTTGAATGTCTTGGGCCACTACGACTTTCGTTGCAAAGTTTTCGGAGTTCAGTGATTCAGTCTCAATGATGTTCATAGCCACTTGGTTCGCCTGCTCGGCCGACTCGAGATTGTGCGAAAGCCCCCACTCACAATAACCAAGCCGGTCAGGAAAGCTGAGCTGTGTCGCCGTGTCGCGCAGCTGTGCAGTACATCAGACCACTAGATGGCACGCACATGCAGTGCCATTCTCGGTGGCTTGCGTAGAGGAGTCGGACGTTTAAAGGTAAGTTGAGCTGCCTACTCCACGAGATTCCACGAGCCAGAACCTGCAGTATCCAAACTTATCAACGGCCCGGACATGGGCTTCCAGCTCAATCTCTCCTGAGCTTCGAATCGCTCAGCGCCGCTTAGGGTGTGTATCCTACCTAGCTCCAACGTGCTTTGAAATGGTGCGTTCACCACAGGTTTTTGCGCACACATGGCGACACAAAGCTGGAAACGAGAAAGTGAGCCGAACGGCAACGTTGGCTTAGGCAGGCAAGGCCCAGCACAAAGTGGACACGCAGTAGTTAGAATTGCCCGCGTCAGCTTTTTCTGACGGTGACACACAACAAAAATCATATCAGCCCTGGTCTCGAAGCATCGCTGATTGCCAAGACTCGGTGGGCGTGCAGGATTAGGCTCCTGCAGGGGGCGGTACCTTCCTAGCGATTCGCGACTGAAGTTGGGTGCATGCGCAGTACACTAGCGTGGCTTGTGGAGTGGAGCACTCGGATCCCAACTTCAAAAATGTCGAGCTGGTTCAGGAATTCTCGGAGACCAGTGTTCCTATCACATATGTCAGCTCGGCACTAAGAATTACGCAAGATAACAGACCAGACCACGTGCCCGGTTGACAACCATGCAGTGCTTCGTCATTTGTTCAGGTCTGCCTCTTTGCGAGTACGACGGTCCTGACATACAGGATGCAGGGAATTCCTGTCAGCTTTTGATCAAGCTTCGACATGAGCAAAATTTGTGGACAACAGGACGAATCTGACGACGAACAGGCCACGATGTCCCATTGAGTTCCATATCGTTGGGTTGCGACACAGCCAGCGATTGCAGGATCGACTGCCCAAGAAACTGGCACGTGGCGCCGTGCTCTTGCCTCGGATACAGTACTTGTAGTTCTTTGAGCCACCATCTGCGCCTCTGCCTTGCATGGACAATGTTTGTACACCAGGAGGGGCTCCACACACTTGGAAACTTTGCGAGCTTTCCGGCAAGCCCGTGCGGAGCTGTGATCTTGTGGTATGAGCCAAGACAGAATGCTCGGTGACCACGGCGGCCAAGGCGAAATCTACGGGGGGAGCGAGCAACTAGAGTGGATGATCCAGGATCTTGAGTACTCGTGATCTTGAACGACTCGCCGATGCTTTCGAGTGGGCGTCGCCCGTGCCCATGCTTGAAGCATCTTGAAGCCGTGCCGAATCAAGCTCATGAGGCCAAGTCTCCAAAGAGACACGAATCAATGTGTGCGCATGGCGTGTTGCATGGTGTTTAGCCAAACTGTTTCACCCTGACCTCCAAGAGGACAGATCGACCAGAAGGAAAATGCAGTAAGAGTTTCAATATGTTTCAGGCTTGCCAACGCTTCAGAGCCAGAGTCCCATACAGACATGTTGAGATGAATCGGATCAGCAGGAGACACGACTAGAACATTGGCAAACTGGACGAAAGTCTTGAAGACTGCTAGCTAGTTGCCAGTCGGCGTGAGGTCTCGTAAAGCCGTCGGGCCTCAATGCAGAAAGTATCGAAGGGTTGTTCCGTTTTGTTGGAGCCTTAGGGCGGTGATGCTGCATGAGATCGCGACCGTTCTTGGGCATGCCGTCACCAGTTTGTTGGCGCCTCACGCCAAAGTCTTCCGTTCATTCAGCAAATGTTCTCATCCGCCCGTCTCTGCCGAGACAGCACTGGCTCCACGCAGCCGCCGGCACTGCAGCTCGTCAAAAGTTTCTTTTGGAGAGCAGGCTCTGGCCTTGACATGCCTTGACAGCGCTGCTGTCAAGGCGCAAAGTTTCGGGAGTGCTGGCGGAGGCCTGTATCGGATGCCAAGCTTGTTCCGAAAGAAGCGCTGTGCCAGCAGGCCATGACCAAGTGTGGACCTTCGCGTACGGTGCTAACATGGGCCTGGCTGAAGCCTCAAGTAACTCAAGTAATCAGGGACCGTGTGCGATACGTTCACATATTTGCACTCTAGCAGCTTGCAACTTCAGAGCCAGATGCCACACCAGCATCAGCCTCGCTCAGGCCAAGATGCATCTTCTTGGCATCCATCCCTTCAAGAGCCTGGTGGGCTTGCTGCCGCATCATGAGCTGATATTTGACAGGCCTGGCGGCAAAAAGCTGGTTTGGTCTTGTGCCATTAGGCAGCCTGTGGTTGGGTCGCATTGCAGGTCATTGGCAGACGGCATCCACGAGCCTGCCTTTGCCAATCCCTCGGCTCTGCTGTCAGCATCTGTCAGCGAAACGTGCTGCCCTTCGCTTGGTGTTGAACGCACTTGCCAGGCGAATATCCGTCACATTGAAGATCCAACCGATCCTGCAGCCGTGCCATCGCCTAAGCAACTGATTCACCCTCCTCCAGTTCGAGCCCCGAGGCCTGTAGTAGCAGCTCGATTGATTGAGGTCTCCAGTGCACGGTGTCGTCCATGCCATTAGCCAAAAGGAGCTGAACGCTCTCGACTCCTCAGAAGCGCCTCTGTACCACCGAGTGCAGATGCCGCTCGCATGGACTTTTGCTTTGGGGGAAAGCTTAGAATCTCTTTGAGATGCGGTCCTTCGAAGGCCTGTTCAAGTCAGCACGCCGCACGGGCCGCACGAGGCCGGCAGGAGCCATCACTGTAATGTCCAGAAGGTCAGAGGTTGCATGCTCACCATCTCCATCTCCGCAGGTGAAAGCATGGACCTATGTGGGCGATGGAAACACTGGCTCTGCGGAGGCTCAGGCGTGAACCCCCTCGAACATCTTTACTGAACTTCGACTCGTGGCTCTGTGAGGCAGGACATCCTACCGTTCATTCAGACGAAGGACTTCCACTTCTCGGCACTGTGCCGCGTGGAATCTGTGTCAAAGTCATTGTCTCAGCAAATACAGCATGCAGATTCGCATGGTTGCTGCTGCCGCTCGGGGCTCACTGCGTCTCATTGCGTTTTCGAGAAGCCACGTGCACAGACGGCGGGCATGTCGAATCTACTCTACTTGACGGTAGCTGCGGATCTAACCGTGCTGGTGTCGGTCGATGACTCCCACGGCGTTGAGCGCATCGAGCTTGCAGAGGGCTCGGTACCTTCACAAGCGCGAAATATGGACGAGGTAAGACCGTCTTTGACTGATGCAGGGCTCCAGTTGATCCGAGCAATTTCCCGTCTCGCGGGATCGAGTCGGCACAGCGACGAAGTCGTTCAACAACGCCTACAGCGTCTCCTCCGCAACTGGCGCCGCACTCGCGCATGTGCGGCAATTCTTCAACATGCTCAAAACCAGAATGCACCGCGGCTTTTCGTGGACCACGTCGGCTGTAATTTGGCGGATGTTTCATGGGAATTGCTTGGGAGGGCGCAGACCAGCGCAGCCTTTTTTGAAGTCGCACTATTTGGCTACGGGAATCGCAAACCACGCAGGACACGCAGTGAAGCCGAAGCTGACGCAGATCCGTTACAGCGGCTTGGAACCTTTGCTGCTCCCGGTGGGGGAAGCGCGAGGTCCTTCCAGTTTCTACGGCTCGAACCTCTGCGCTGGCATCGGGTCAGAGTTCGGGCTGTAGGGCTTCACAAAAGCTGGGTTTCTGATTGGAGTAACGAGGTATCTTTTCGCACTCTAAGTCTTCAAGATGCACACGATGCTGGCCTCCACATCGCATCCGAAGGCTTTCTGGTCAAGTCTGAGCGATTAATCCAAAAGTGTGTGACTAACCAAAATGTCAGCTTGCCAAGCAGAGAAGAGCGCATGGTGAGGCGAGTGCGCCAGTTGTTGGGCGCATCTCAGTCGTATGAGGCTGCAACGACGAAATTGCTGCATGCACGCTACAGCCAGGGCGGATGGCCCGATTTCGTGAAGCAAGGGGCAAAGTTCTGCCGCCCGGCGGCTTCGCGCGACGAGCGCATGAAGCGAATGCAATTGGCAATTGCTGCAGAAGAGCTATACGGCCCGGCTTATCCAAGCGGCAATGAGTGGTGCCAGGGCCCGTTTTACTACGAGTCGGCTGGGCTGAAGACACTGAGCAGGAGATCCTCATAAACATCTGAGACCATCTTCCGAATCGGGCCAATTTCCGGTAGTTTTTTTATCATGCATGCTGTGCAAAATTCAGAGTGACCTGTCTAATGAGCACATGGTTCGGGTACTGGCCCCGTGCAAAACAGGGGGTCGTCAATGCTGAAGAGCACTCGAGTGCGACTGCGAGCGCATGGGAGCCGCAGAGCCGAGACCTTCGCAGGAGCTCCGAGCGCTCGCTACGCGAAGTTGGTGGTTTGCGGTGCCAAGGCCCAGCGAGCACAATCGACATGAGAGGGCCATGTTCATGCGGTGCAGCACAGGAGAGGAGCCTCCCCGAATGGTACCAGGACCGGCTTCTGAGGAGCCTGGACAACTGGGGAGTGCCGAGTGCCGTTCTCGGCCGGATCCCAACTTCGTCCATAGCTCTTCTTATCGATCCCAAGGAATGACCTGCGAAGGGCAGCAGCCCCACGCGGCCTTGGAACATGCAGCTGGTGCAACTCTGCCGCTGGTAGAGCCGGTGGCTGAAGCACATCGGGTGCATTCGATTGCCGTGCGTGCTGGCCTCTGCCTTGCTCAAGGTCGAGCAGCGCCGCCATGGCAATCGCTTTTCTTTTTTGCGAGCCTGGTTTGCTGGGCGCTTAGGGGCACACGCGTGGCGCAGTCATGCACACTGGAAACGGCAGTTAAACCCGGACAACGGGGCGTGTGCGCGAGTATGTTGCGTAACGAGAACTTGTAGCATGAACAGGGCCGGAGATCGGAACTTGCGGGCCTTCCTTTGAGATTATGCATCTTTTCTTGGCTGCCTGGCTCAGGGGCCGCTTTCCGGCTAACTACTTATTTACTTAGAGGGATTCAGTCTACCTCCAGCCGCAACATTTTAAACCGACACAAAGACGCCACCATACAAAAAAGGCACTTGCCTGAAACCCTGAAGCCTCAATCTTCTCGAAAACTGGACCTTCAACCCTGCTGCTCATGCCTCAGGTCCGCAACCAATGAAAGCAGATGGTTTAAGTGAAAAACCAAATTGCCAGAAATCCCTCAATGCGTCAACCGAAAGCTTCTCTCAGATTCATCGTGCGTGCGCTTCGCAGCAGTCTGCCTTTCTGAGATTCTTCGGCTAGCCTGACCAGTTGAACTTAGGCATCAGAACTTATCGACGAGGTTTGCTTTGAACATATTATATAAGTTTCTACTTCCAAGGATGGTCTCCGGTAGTGGGTTTTCCAGTCGCAGTTCCAGTTGCGCTTGGGCTCCGGTTTCTGTTGCTGCTGCCGCGCGTTTCTGTTCCATTGTCACATTGCGTAAGTTCGGTTTCCGTTTCTCCCCAAACGGTTTCTGTTACTTCCCGCACCCCATGCCCAGGCAAAGCTGCCATGGAGCTATGTCGCCCACAGCGGCAGCGACTTCAGAAAATTGCAAGGGAGAAAGCAAGGGTTAGCAACTGCATGAATTCGGACTCATGTTTCTGAAAGATGACCTTGGGTTCTTGCTTTCGCACCATACCACCAGAATATTACATGTTAAGCCACCGAGCTTGACATATCTCATTTAGATGGTGGTGCAACGACCGCTTGTGAGCCTGTCAAGGGCATGTGTAGTCAGCTTGTCGACGTGTCCACAAACATAGCTGCATGCTTGTCGCGGATACAGCACAGTCACGTTTGGACCCGGCATCCGTTGCTTGCACATCTTGCACAAGTTCTCAGAAGTTCGAAATTTGCACACAGCCGACATCTATCGAATCAGCTCATGTGGAGCTCGCTCGCAGTCACATGGACTCCGAAGGTGCCGTCAGCTTGGGCGGCCCTTCCCCGTTTCCCGCTTCTGTTGAACAGGAACAGATGCGGTGCTGCCGGAAGAGGGCTCGCTGGCCAAAGTGCGAGTGTGTGTCCGCTTCAGGCTGGAACTGACACAGTGACGCACAGATCACGAATCACTCTGCCACAAACATGAGCTCTTGCTGCCAACTTGGTTTGGGTTGAGGAAGTTAAGTGTTCTTGCATCCGATACGCCTCGCAGGCCAGTGCTGCCCGGAGAGGCCGATGCCTGCGGTGCACGGAGCCAAACAAGCCGAGCCTTTGAGTCTATAGAGTTGTGATGCAGGAGGGGCCAACCGGACGAATCAAGTGGGACGAGGAGACACAGGGTGTTCTGAGAGTGATCAGCTCATGTTTCTCTCACGCCAGGGCAGCGCGCCGAGAAGCGTCCACATCCAGGGAGGCAGAGGGCAGAAGTCCACGTTGAGACAAAAGACAAGAGTCAGTTGAATCATTCCGGGGGATTCAACAAGAAATGCTGCTAGGCTGCTCACGCAAGCTTGAATATGTGGTGGATATCTGTGGTTTCTCTTCTTTGCCTCTGTGTTTTTTTCGCGTTTCAGTTTGCGCTCCTCTGTCCTGCCCGGCTGGGGCCGCCTCTGGAGTGCCCGGTCGATGCATTCTCTGCAAAGAGCTCCGCCCCTGGCCTGGGCCAAGTCGGAAGCTTGTCTCAACCGATAAATCGCAAGGTCTGTTCCTTCAAATTGATGGAGCCTCTCGCTGCTCAACACGGGTGGGTGGCCTTTACTCCCGCAGGATTACTGTTTTGTGGGTCCGGCCAGGACACGTCGGAGCATTATGCAGTAGGGGGTTACAGCATGTCCTCAGGCGCACGCAGGCACGCAGGCACGCACCCAGGACCCTGGCCAGAAGAAGCCTGTCAGCCTCGAAGCTTTAAGTCTTGAAGGCCGCCATGAGACTCAGAAGGCCTTCCAGTTTGTGCCGGGCTTAGCCCTGTGTCCGAATGCATATGAAGAGCCACGGCACGGCGCTGCGCTGAAGGACAGAGTTTTTCCACCTTCGACATCTCAGGAAGAGGTCCGAGAAAGGGCAGGGAAACAATAACAAAACTGTCGTTTCATGGAGGTGTTCAAGGATGCTGGGCTAGATGAGCTGCTGGACGCACTGATGGACGGCTACCACAGCACCGTCTTTGCTTACGGTCGGCTCTGTGATGTTCATCTTTTGCACTAGTGCCATACAGTGTCCCTCAAGGTCAGACCGGCAGCGGCAAGACTTTCACGATGGAGGGGTTGGCTGCACAGTCTATCGAGCTTTGCCAAGGGCTTGTTTCCGTCACAAAGCTGAGGTTTTCTTACCAGCCTGGCACAGTGGCCAAAGCGCCACAGGCTGGGAGCTTGCTGTGTTTTGCCATGAGGTGCATCGCCAGCAGTTTGAGGTGAGGGCAGAGTCTACCTCGCCCGAGAATCTGGGAATCGTCCCACGAGCCATCCACGGTCTGTTTGACCGGATTGACCGGAGAGCAACCACTGGCAACAAGCCCAGCATGTCGCATTTTTTGTCGAGTCTTGATGGCTCTTGTCTTGTTCTTCCTGATGCTGATGTCCAACCTGAGGCGAGAGTGTCTTCACTGTGCGCCTTTCGTTTCTACAGATATACAACGAGCTACTTGCATGCACAGTCAGATGACCAAGCAACTCTACGTGGAGGTCTGCATCGTTCTGAGGCGTATCTTTGACCTCTTGAACCCGGTCCACCTGACGAAGTTTGGTCAGGGTGGAGGGCTGCGGCTTCGATGGAATCCCCGTGCCTTGGACCCGTTCTGTACTAACCAGGTTGGCAGAACAAATTCTGACAGACAATTGAGGCGAAGCTTCCGTCACCGTGGAGAACCTCTTTGTTTTTGAATGCAGGCTCTTGTCATCCCTGTTGTTCGGAGCGGTGCTCGTGTGAGATTGAGATGGGTTGAGGACTGCTGCTGAAGCTTTGAACCACTACAAGGTTTGCTGACTGTGCCTTCCTAGCATCTCGCAGCATCGGAGCCCTTTAGCTGATGCCCTCAGGCAGGCGTGAAAAATCGGACTGTCGCGAGTCATCAGATGAATCAGGCCAGCGGAAGATGACTCGCAAGCCTTAAGGAGGATATGCCCGCAAGTGCTTCTGCATGCGTTTGGGTATTCGTTCGCCTGCTGCAGGCAAGCAGTCGATCGCACTCGGTGCTAATGATGACCCTGGAGCGGTGTTCCACTTAGATGTTCGCAGACTAATCCCACGATGCACTGCACGATCAGGCATGAAAGAAGATCAAAGGAATGCGGCATGTGGAAAATCTTCGAAATGTCTCCAATTATGTTCGAAGATTCGAAGGGGTCGAGCGACACAAGATTCAGCACAAGGCCCCTGTACCCTCTTTCTACCCTAAGCTGACACAAGAAGGCTAGCTTGCCCACTGCTGAACCGGCGAACTCGGAGGTCGGAGCTGGCTGACAGCTGTTTGAATGTTCGGCTCGACGCCCGTAGCTTTCGGACACATCGCGCTACCTATTTCGACCCGCCCCAAGCCGTTTAGCCGGTTTCCCGACTTGCACCCGCCTCCCGCTCTTTCAAAAGGTTTGAGAGAGTCGTGAGCCTTTCAGTCATTCCTCCGACATGATGAAATTTTTAGTCGTGCCGGAGCCAAGGAGGACCGACCATTCTGTCGATCAGTCATCCAAGTTGACACTCGTGGACTTGGCTGGCTCCGAGCGGCAGGCAGACACAGGCTCACACGGTGTCCCTGCCCTTCCTTGGTTTCCAGAACAAATGGCATGTATCTATATGTCCAATATATATATATATATATATATATATAGTTATAGTATAGATATATATATATATATGTATATATATGTATATATATATATATATATATATACATACATATGTCTACATATGTAGATATATCGACTGAGACGTATATACTTATATACTTATATACTTATGTATATGTATATGTATATGTATATGTATGTGTATATATATATGCTTATATATATATATATGTATGTGTATATATGTATACACATATATATATATATATAATATGTCTGTGTGTGCTTGTGCGTCTGTCTGTCTACAGCAGACAGCGCAGGTGCCAGCGGCCGCACGCTGCAGGAGAGTGCAAGCATCAATCAGTCGCTCTTCGTGCTGCGCAAAGTGATCGCCGCTTTGGCCAAGCACCAGACCAGGCAGGCACATCTTGCTTTGATTCCGTATCGTGAATCCAAGCTTACCATTCTGCTACGGGACGCCTTGGGTGGTTCTGGCTACACTCTGATGGTGGCTTGCTTGTCCATCCTGGATTCTAGCGTTGAGGAAAATTTGTCTACTTTGCAGTATGCCTGCACAGCCGGCAAGATACGAAATCGTCCAGTGGTCAATTTGGATCCCACCACTTTGCTCATCAAGCAGCTCCAGCAAGAGGTTCAGAGGTTGAAGCGTCAGCTTGAAATTTTCCAGAAGTACATCATCCACCTGACCGGAAAGCCGATACCACAACAAATTCTTCATGGTGGCACGTTCCCGACTGCTGACACGCTTGACGTTGCTCCGGAAGCCGCCCACGACGAATGGAGCGCGCCGTTCGTTGCCAACTCTCAGCATGCGCCACCACCAAGCCACGTGGGTACCGTCGTGGGTCCCCTGGGTCCCGTCGTGGGCCTGAGCTCACAAGAGAGAAAAGTCGCGACACCACGGGGCAAGGCCACCACGCCGTCGACGGAGCGGGAGCCGCCATCTTTTCCGGAAGCTCCTGGGCCGGGCCCGGAGGCTCCCAAATCTGATCCAAGGAGCACGGAAGGTGCCGAGACTCTTGGCATCAGCAAGGAAGAACTCGCCGAGCGGCTTTCCGAGGCCGTTGCCAGCTTGGGGCAGGCCACTACAGAAAACTTCACGCTGCGTCGCAAATGTGATGCTGCGCAGAAGGCTAATGACGCATTGGAGCTGCAGGTCAGCAGTTTGGAGAAGGAGCTGCTGCTTCACAGGCAGCACGCCTCCCACGTGGGAAGCGATGCCTGGTTTGGAGATAGCCTGGCACAGCTGACCCAGATGGACGACCAAGCGACAGCGCTGACGGCCATGTGGGGCCCTGAGGTGTAAAAGCATGTCCTGCGAAAGCACAGATACTCGTATGGTCTTGCATGACACTGCCGTGCGAAACTCAGTGCCGAAATGTGAAACAAGCTTTCAGGCGAGCAGCAGCGTTTTACGACCTCATTCTGCTGCGCGAGGCCAGCCGTGTCGATGTTGCTTTCATTGGAACCCTGTCGTGAAGCTCTGCGTTGCAGGAGCTCTCTGCTGGCAGAGGCCAGAACGATGAGCGAGTTGTACGGATCCGCTAAAGTGCATTCTGTTCAGGTCTTGCTGCACGGTCTTCAGCGGGACAGCAAAATTGCGTCTGCATTTTGATTTGGCCAGTCTCGAACGCTTTTCCTGAGCATCTGAATGCTGCACGCAGCTTCTAGGGCCCGAGCCTGTCAAGCTGCAGAACACGCCGGACCACAAGAATCTACAAAACAGTCTCTACCCGAAGCAACGGAGCAAGGACTTTCTTCAATCTTCTACAGTCCCCCACTGCGAACTCCAGTCATTCAGCAGATGTCGGCAGATCTCAGAGCAGAGCAGGGAGAATCAACATTGTACTTCTCGGTTGCGTGCTGTGCGCCTGCTTCGCAGCCCACGGGATGCTGAGGCCGACAGGGTCTCCCCGCAGGTTTGGAGATCTGCCGTACTGCGTAGCACTGCATGGCAAGAAGCAGCTAAGTGCAGGTGCAGAGCCGGTCACATCGCCCCGTGCTCGGTGCGAGGAGGCTGCTTCGCTCATTCGGCACCGCTCTGAGGTCGAGAAGGTGAAGAAGCTGAAGCCCTGGCAAGGCCGGCAGTCTGCACAGACAAGATTCGGCGATGGTGGCGCTGCTTGAGGCCACATTCACGTTCGTGAGTGCAGCTACTGCCGGAACGAGATTGACCGGCATGAAGTGCACTACAGCTGTCCGGACACTGACTGGGCTACAGAAACTCATGCGTTGCCTTTGTTGGTCTCAATATCACACGTGTAAACAGTTCAACATGCACTCCTCTGCATGGCAGTTGCCCATCAGGAGAAGTGCCGCCTTGAGCTGAGTGCTTCAGACTTCAGCCGCATCTTGCTCGATGTGCTGGGCCAAGGCTTCTACGTGTGTCAGTACTGCGTGCGACTTGGGGTATGCTCCGCCATCGCACGCCCGAAGCACTCGTCAAGCTATTGCTGTTTGTTGCTGAGGCTACAAGTCTGAAGTGGCCAAGCGCAAGTCGTCCGGCCAGGCAAAGCATGGCTGGGCGACTGGCAGGTGGGCCCACTAGTAGCGAAGGATTTACAAGCTGAGCAATTGCTGAGCATGCTGAGGATAGGGCACGAAGAGCTCTGTACGGCGAATGCAGGCAGACATCGGGAGACAGCATCAACAGCAAAGGCTCCAATGTTTGCGACATGATCAGCCATCGGCTCAGAATGTTTCAAGGTATTGAAGAGACTTGCCCCAATGAGTCGGTTCCCAGGTGACAGCGGTGCATCTTCTGCGTATGTCTGGCTCGTTGCTTCCGGGCACAAGCTTTGCCAGCACTTCAGTACTCACGTGAGCAGGGGCTCGTCCATCTCATCACCTCCGATGCCCAGACCGGCACGCGCTGCGCTTGATCGCATCCCTCCTCCTCTCCAACCACCTCCGTGCATATCGGTCCTTTGAGTGCCTATCTGTGTGGGCTGACTGAGTTCCAAAGCTGACCGTGCCCGGAACGTCAGTAACATCAGCGGATATGCGCAGCGGTCGAAGCAGAGGCCCAGTCGTCAAAGTACTGCCGGCCGACATTCCGTGGTTTCTTCCGCCATGCAACTGCGAGGCTACAGCACCGGACGATCGCAGCACTTGGCTCAGACTGCTAGCTGCCAGTCACGTCACATGTAGCTCACCCCTCGGGCTCAGGGCTGCGCGGCTCAGTTACAGGATACATAGTGCGAGCAAGGAGCCGGGGCCCTGGAGCCTCAGAAGGCAACAGGCGCAGCAGAATGGCAGCAGGCTTTCGTTCCTTGGCGGAAGGTTTCTGGAATCCAGCTGGCAGCGCTCCGTTGAAGTTGTCTTTTGGGTCTGTGTGGTCTTCATCAGCAGGGGGCCCAAGGCAAAAGTGGTGATAGGTCGAGTGTTGCAGTCTGAACTTACTGGTCTGAGGTGACTTCATTGGCGCATTCTACTTGCAGAACCTCACTACTGACGAGGATCATGTAAAGCAAATCCCCTTGCGAAGCACGACAGTAGCATTAGAGATTCTTACATCTTCTGTGCCTGCTTGACTACGTTTCCATCCCCATTCTCTGAAGATCAGCTTCACTATCCTCCTGTCCCTAATTGGAGCCCTCGTGCCAACACTTTGGACACTCAAGCGAAACAAGCCGGAGTTGCTCGGTCGTCGGGCCTTGGGTGGAGCCCGGCAGTGAAATGTCTGAAGAGGCACAGTCTTTGACATGACCATAGCTTGAAGAGCAAAGTGGCCACCCCAGTGAAGTTGTGAAAAAAGGGCCCAAAGATGGGGAGCTGGTTCGCGGCCTTGGCGTGCTGCTGCAAACTTGTCGGACATGTGAGGTTGGTGATTAGCTCTCAGGCACAATCATGCAGGTTCTCGTTGTAAAAAGTTTGCAGTTCGAAGTTCGAATCATGAAGCCACAGCAGATGCTGTACAGTGTCAGGAGCTGGCCTTCCCATATCCGCAACTTGGCCGCAAACGCCCAGCTCTTCGTCCCGTGATCATCTCGTTGTTTTCGCAAACCGCCAACCGCGTCCCCCGAAGCTGCAATACGCCTTGCGAATTCGTAAAAGAGGCTTTTCTTCAGTCACTTGCACTGTGCAAAGTCGAGAGGGCCAGACTGCGCAAGAAATGTAGCCCCCAAACTCAGCAAGAACATTTAGACGAGAAAAGAAGCCCGTAAAGGAAGTGTTTTTGAGGTTCTTGACGGCCTGCTTGTCGAACTTTGTGGCCGGCATTCTGGTCATCACCATCGTGTTTTTGCTGTCCAAGACGGGCACGCAGGAACTTGTAGGTGAGCTGGCAGCCGAGGCTGAGGCCTGGCTGGGCTCCGACATGATCCGCCTCAGCTTCCCTAAAAGCCCCGCTTCGTGCCCTGAAGGTTGACATGTGGGTGCAGCTCATCCTTGGCGTCCTCATCACTTTCGAAGTTGCAGCTGCCGCTAAGGCAGAGCGGCATGACTCCTTGCAGTCTTGTATGGCTGAACGTGTTGAATACTCAGGTCTTATCCAACCAGCATCACACGATGGCAGCGTGGTTCTACATGCTGACCCCAGCCCCTTGCATGACCAATCCTGCTAACCAGATCAAGCACGATACTGACGTGAGATTTCGATTCCTGAGAGCCCTTTCGAGGTAACGACTATCCTCGTTGCAAGCCCCATACTCAGTCAACGCGGTGACGCTCCGTGCTTTCGTCTCAGAGTCAACTGGATGCAATGCGTATTCCAGGCACCAACTACTGTGGTATCCTGGCTGCGAAGATACATTCCTTGATATTGAGAACATGCACTGAACTTCAGTGCCCAACTGCAGGTATGGAGGTGCTCCACAAGGAGTGGGTGCTTATGCCGTCGTGCATCGCCCATGTTGTCGGTAATTTACGCTTTCGTTTGCATGGATCATCACGGATCACCTGTCTCAATCCAGGCTCAACAGCTGAAGTTGCGAAACGCCCCCATCAAATCATAGTGGTATGTGCCTCTTTTCAGCCGGTTCTCCGGTCTGTGGCTCTAAAGGAGCTCTTGACTGCAGCCGGCGCCGCCGCCCTAGGTAGACAAGTGGTATTCAGAGTTGTTTGCACAGCTCACGACAAGTTCCTTCAGCAGTGCAAGTTCAGCAGCGCTCGGGCAGCATAGGAATCGTTAGTTGGAAGGGTCTGCACCCCGGGTTGTAAAGAACATCTGAACACGAGGCTACTGTTCCGTTATTTCGAAGGTCGTACACATCCCGCACGTGCACCTAATCAATTTGTTTTAACAGGGTGATTACGAAGTTCCTGCTTTCGGGCCTCATGGAGAGCACAGAAAACCAGTCCAAGTTTACAAGCCCTCAAAGGCATTCGCATCCTGTGCTTTTCAATATACAAGTAGCGTTTCTGCGGGCGCTCAGGTTGCATCATTAGGTGGCATGATGGCCGTGCATGGCCCCTGGCCATCACTGGAGGTCGGAGAGATGAGTGAGTTGCTCGACAGTTGGAAGACGGTGGCTCCTGCAGGGTCTTACAAGCCTGGAGTGGGCCTGCTTGGCCGTTGCTGGATCCTGAGCCTTCCTTTCCACATGAAGTACCATGTTCTGCCCGCTGGTTAATGTCGAAGGCACAAGTGCCAGTTCATACAGACATATTGTCGTGCATATTGGTTCATAGCGCAACTTCACCACAACTTCGCAATCGGTACCGACAGCACGTTCCTGTGGCTCCGCACGCTGATGTTCCCGAGGTGTTCACCGTCGGACGGTGTCTCCTCACGCAGAAGGTAATGTCTCCTGCGCAGGGTAGAAGGCACATCGTTGTCCTTCTTTGCTATTAGTTATCCTGAACAGCTGGATGAAGTCGACCACTTTGCGTTAGAGAGTCCCAGAAGTCTTGCTGGGAAGCGTTCATCTGTTTGGCAGGCCGGGTGCACTCATCGTTTCAAAGCTGGTGCTGTTGGCAGCCTTCACTGTCGGCGTAGAACTGCCGGCAGCTCACAAGTCCTGAACCAGCAGGTTTGGTTGCCCCCGGTGCCCCCGCTTGAGTGGCCCCTTTCGCATGAGCCCTAGCCCTCTGCAAGGTCACTGTACAATGAGTGCCTGGGCTGCACGAGGGCCTTCCTGCCGGTCTGAGTCTGCGCCCCCGCCCTGAAGAGTCCGTATTTTTAGGGGTCGCACAGGTACCAGGGCCAGGGCCAGCGAGGGATCCTTTTCCATCACGTACTGTACCCATGTTCGCAGAGATAGCCTTGTCTTTGAGCTATCTTCCGAGCCGGTCCAAGCCGGTTGAGTCTGAGCTGGATCTCCTGCAAGTTTCGAGGTGGCATGGGTTTTGGTCCATTCCATGGCTTCCTCGTCCCGGTCCTGTCTTTCGACTTGTTGCTGTCATAGGCGCGATGCGATGTAAATGGTCATGCTCCAAAGCTTCACGGCCCGATGCATGTGTGAAGCGCAGTTCTACCTTGCAGGCGTTTGCGATGCTTGCAGCGTCCCTGCCCTAGCTCGGTGATTCTTCACATCGAGCTTGCTAGATTGCCTTCAGTCTGAGCCGAGCTACGCCGCGCACCAGGTCATCGGGACAACCAGGTTGATTCAGATAACGTCAGCTGCATTTGGAGCGCTGCTGGTGCCGTTCCATACGGTTACTTTGCTGCCTATTGAGGCCCCCTTTTGCGGAAATTCTTGATTCGAACGGTATTTTCTCATTCATCTGTATGAACACTTTCTGCTTGCACCCCTGGCCAGTCCTTGAACAGCTCCATTTCGGTCATCAACTGGTTGGGGCTGGTTCTCTGCGTCACATCCGCGGTCATGTACTTCAAGGCGCAGCACACAGAGTCACAAAGATCGTCCTGGAATTCAGCGGCTGCACAGCAAACTCATCTCATCCCGCTGCTGCTGATGCACCAGGCTCGGAAGAGCACTGCAGAACACCCTGCAGGTGCAAGCAGAAGTGTGTTTGCTTGGAAGTTGCTCATGCAGATGTCAAAAGCACTGAGACTTCTTGTTTTTTTTCCAGGCTACTCCACACTACCGCCTCATTAGATTGCCGAAAACCAGACTTGGTGGCTCGCTTTGTTGCAACATTGCTCCGCTGCATGCCAGTACTTCCAGCCCTGCACCACATCCTTTCAGATGTTCGCGTGAAAGCTTGAGACGAGCTTGACTCTGGCAACGGGCTTTCTGGCTCACACTGACTTGGTAGCATGCCCAGCAGTCTGTGGTCTACAATAAACGTCGAAAGCCTCGCCAATCAACAGCCGCTGCATGAAGCCTGCTGCAGCCATTAGCTGGCAAACGAAAAAACATTCCTCAGTTTCATAGTGCTCAGTTCGCAGCTGGCAGCTGCGAACGCGCCGCTTTTGAAAGCACTTCAGAAACTGCGAGTTGCATGGGGTCCGACAGCACAGGCCATGCTACTCGTTGGGAAAAGCACCTTCAGCCTCTCTTGCATGTGCCCCTGCCTCAACTGCAGGATATGTCCAGAGCAGCGCGGCTCTGCTGCAATGGGAAAGCCTCCAGGCTCTGCAAGGGCCGTATGGGACCATGCTATCTCAGGTTTCGCACACTCGGACCCGAGGATGAAGAGGACCTTTGGCAAAGCCGCGTGATGTTTAACTTAAAGTGGGTTCATGAGGAAAGCGCGAATCGTCGAATATCGTCGAATGCTGGTGCAGGAGGATGATCCTCGCAAGCACGACTGCAAGGGCCGGCTGGACCAACGGGAGGCCTCGCTTTACTGCCTTCTTGCAGCTGGCGATCTCAGGGGAACGTCTCAGGCCGTCTTCAATTTCAAGCAGCAAAAGCTGCAGACAGATATGGAGATGCACCATGCTGAAATACATTGCCATGGCTGGGGCAGCGAGTTCGCCAGTTTGAATGACTTGCATTAAAACGAGGTGGTTCATGGAGGCCGTTCCCGAAATCTACGGCGTGTCTGACTCCGATGACCTTGACGAGTCTTTGCAGGAAGATGCACAGGCATAGCTGGCAGCTTCCAGAAGTCTGAGGTTTGCGCATGCTCTTGTTTCTTGTTGTCGAGGCCGAAATTATTGAGAAGATTTGCTCTACAGGAGACAGTGAGGCTGCGATCTGAAGTGGCTGCGTTCGAGAACTCGGGCGGACTCACTGTGAGCATTGAGCAGGCAATGCGACAGACTCTGCTCGACTGGTTAGTTCAATGTCCAGATCCGCACAGGCGGAGCTGGAATTACTACTGTAGCCACCTTGCTACCTTCGAGTTTCATTGCATGGGGCTGCCTCCCTGGATAGATTTCAGTGCTAGTGACAGGTCACAGTTTCGCAGTTTTGAGCATCATGAATGTCTCTCAACGATCCTCCATCACGGGATGACAATGCACAACAAGCAGATGAACAGCTAAAGGCGCGATGACTTTGTGGGCAAAGCTGTTTCAATGGCGCTGAAGGCACATTGCACTGCTGTAGCGCTGGTGATGCATTCACACGGTCGCCGTGAGACTCTCTTGAAGGTCAATATGGCCGGAAGATCACAGAAATGATCGTTCTCCTGCCTGTTTGGCAGATCTACCTACAGTTACTCGTTTCTGGCATCAAAAGGCCAGTGCAGCTGATGCCGCAAGTCCTAGCTTCCTGATGTGTGTGCGACAAACTGCCGCAGCCACGACGGAGTAAAAAGCCAAGCTGATTCATCTCCTCTAGTAAATGTTGTCCAAGCCGTTTATGCAGCTGCATCAGATCCGTGGGACTCTTGCCGGCGAGCTCAAGAACCAAAGCATGGACACAGCATGGAAACACTCGTAATGTGTGCCGTTGCAGATTGTCACGGCAAACACCAAGACAGTCTATCTGCCAGTTGAGGTTTTGAGTATGCCACTCCGCCGCATAAGTGCATAATGCAGCTAGACGACTGCTAACTTGGCAGACTCAAGCTCACAGGATTACATTAGCCAAGTGCTTTTAATGGCAGATGGAGATTATGATCTGTGGGATACGCTGAATCTTCAACGCGGAGCTTCGGTTGACGAGGCTTGGGCACGAGCTGACACGACCCACCACTTTGATGGACAAGAGTCTGCAACAAAGTAATGCCGCGTTAGCAGAGGTTCGTGTGGCATTCCGGGAGCTTTCTCGTCTCTACCATCCGGACAAGCATGTTCGTGCTGGTGAAGGAGTGCACCGAAGCTGTTCCTTGAGTTGCTTCAAATTCTCAACATCCGACGACACGGCAGCGAGTGGCATGGTTTCAGTTCTGTAATCATGGAGGTGAGAATGCAGCCTTCGTCAGAGCCCCGTGCTCAGAACGGGCAGCATGCGTTTAGTTCAGTCTTGCAAGACCTTTACAACTTTGAAGATTGACCCATGCGCCAGGTGCATCGAGCATATCGGATACTCAGTGACGATGTTCCCTGTCTCAGTCGAGATACACGCAAGTGTTCAGAGTCAGCTGGGATGATTCTTGGGCACCATATACGACTGCGAGAAGCGCAGCTCTCCGGGGCAGTGGGATCAAAGCGCCGAGTCGCACGGTTGAGCAATCAAGAACCTGAGGCGCTGCGTGGATTCTATGTCGCTTCCTCAGCGATTTGAGCGTCTTTGCCCCTCCATGCTCGCGGTTGCTGATGTTCATTCTGGCTTCTGGGCTCTTCCGAACACGTGATGATCAATTGCTACGGCATTGTCACATCCCAAAACACTGAGGAGAAGTATGGCCTGTCCGGCGTGAGACTCGCAGAAAGTCTGTCGGACGATGACGGCGTCGATCAAGGGGAAGGTGCCTTTTGGGCCACCGCGGTATGCTGCAAGCGAGCGGCGAGCGCACAGCTGCATTGATAGTGCTGGTGCAGGTGCAATCAGCGTGCCTGACGACAGACTGAAGGACGACCGACAAAACCTTGATAATCACGCCTGGTGTTGTGTTGCCTACAACCCGTACAGGTTTCGAGATTAAGCAAAGTGTGGATCCTTTAGATCTTGCAAAGCCGAGTTGGGGAAAAGATCGGCATTTGTTTGCTGTGCCATGTACTCGCTTGTGAGCAAGCCGATGTAGACAACTCGTAGCGACAACAAGCACTTTCAAACAGATATAGATAGAGCAGAAAGAGGATATCAGAGGATGCCGGCATCGACGACTGGAGCAGCTGACAAGACGGCAGCAACCCAGAACCAACAACCAACAACAGCCACTACCACCAACACAACAACAACGACAGCAGCAACAGGAACAGCAGCCACCAACAACTAACATCCAACAACCCACAACCCACAACCAAAACAAAACACCGACAGCAGAAGCAACGGCAGCAGCAGCAATAGCCAACAGCCTATCATCAAACATCAGCAGCAGCGGCAGCGGCAGCAGCAACGACAACAACAGCAACATGAACAATTTTTGCTTGAACACTATGTAAGCCGGCTCTGCGCTTGGCGGGCGCATAACCTGACGGCTTCAACCGCGCCGTCCCTAGACAGCGCCGCCTGTCGAGGCCAGAACTGTTTGCAGGCTCATAAAAGGAGAATGGATTGCCTACTACATGAAAGAAAGCGCTGAAACGACGAACCGAGGCTTCAGGGGGGCTAAGCACTGCGGCAGCTTGCTGCGCAAGCACTCGTTTCACGACAGCCGTCCGCCGGCAAAGCTCCTGTTTAATGTGCAGGTCGCAGGGTGCCATGCTATTGAGGGGTCACCTCTATGCGCACCAAACGGCACCCGACAGAGACAGCAGAGTTTAGAAGCAAGTCGGGCCGGACAGACCCATATGGCATCGTTCCAGCCACGTAACCCCGCCGGTATACGGGACAGTAGCGACCACGGCTGGGAGGGCCGTAGCCGAAGCACGGCAAGTGCGTCGGCTCTCTAACTGTACCGAGCTGCGACGTGGATCCACACCAAGGTAACAGGTAGAAGCCGTGTGTCCGGACCAAAGGTTTTTGCAGCAGCTCCTCCTGTGGGGCAGACCAAGGCTTTCCAGCCGGACTTTGTCTAAGCTTGCAGTCATTAGGCTGTGCACGTGGTTGTGCGACATACTGTTCCTGGCTGTTGGAGACTTGGGCACCAAGTTATCCTTTTCGGCAAGTAGAGCCAGCCGACATCTGTGAAGCATGTGAGAAAGCTTGATGGTTGCACCTCAGGCAGCCAGAAGCCCCAGTCCACGTGGTTTGTGCGTGTACAAGAACTGCCGAGGTGTACAAGTGCAGAAGGGCTGATGTAGCTGAACGCACAGCTGTAGGATTGCTCCCTGATGTCGATTGCATGGCAAGATCTCTTGTAATTATAATGCAACATAGGCTGGAAAAAACACTGAGCCACGGTAGACACGCCACCAGATCGACAACGGCTTAACAGTGAAAGTTACCAGTAACAGCAACAGCAACAACGGCAACAGCATCAGCAACAACAACAACAACAGCGGCAACAACCGCCACAACGACAACCGCGACAACAACAACCACAACAGCAACAGCAACAGCAACAGCAACAGCAACAGCAACAGCAACAGCAACAGCAACAGCAACAGCAACAGCAACAGCAACAGCAGCAAGCCCAACAACAGCAACAACACCAACCACAAGCACAACCACCGGCACGAAGACGACACCACGACAACGACGACGGCAACGGCAAGAGCCATAGCAACAACAGCAGCAGCAACAGCGGCATCAGCAACAACAGCAGTGCACGAACTTCCCAGATTTTCAATTTAGGTTAAACAAGGATAACAAGGTCGCTCTTGCAGTGACTGGAATGCAAACACTGGAGCTCCGGTTACGGGAGAGTCTACCATGCGGTTCTACTCCCGGCTGACCAGCAGGTTGGAAGCCCACTTCATGACATGATTGATAGCAAAATGGAGGGAACAGATGTCTGGAGACCTGCATCGCGGCAGCTTCGTCTGATCGTTTTCGAATTCCTGAAAAGGATACCCACTGAACTCCCAACATTCAGGACCTTGAGTCGCGAGTGCAGCGGCTCGTGCGAAAGCACGAGGACAGGAGTTTGTTCCTGCTGTTGAGCCGCTATGAAAATTCAGGGATGCTCTTAGCTCTACTCGAATCAGGAGCTCCGAGCACAGAGACTGCTGAGTCTCAACGGTCTGGCCCCTGACCTGCGCAAGACCCACTGCTAAAACTTCTAAATGTGTTGCTTTTTTTCCCCCAGGTTCCTTCGTGCTGTCGACCGCTGCAACTGCCAAGCCGGGCACGCCTTTGAAACGTTTACGTCTTACTTATATAGTGAGATGCTGGTATAAGACAAACAAGCGGCAGCTTACATCGTCGGCATTACAACCAGGTCGCTTTCGCTTGCAGTACAGCGCGCTCTCGCACTCGGTGCAAATTCACTTGGCAGCCGTGGACCTAGCAAAGGTCCCAAATGTTCCTTGTGCACATGTGCGAAACTTCTCGCTGAAGTGTCGAAGGAGCGCTTTCGCTTGTCAGTGGGCTGCGTCAGACCCTTTCTCACCGTGGGCATCAGATCCGATAGCACATGGCCACAAGTCGTGCATGCCAACCAGGCCTCACATGTTCAGTCAAGCAGCGGCGCCGGAGCAGCAAAGCTTCTGTTGGCAGCGAGTGCCACAGTGGCCTTCTCAAACTGCACAGCCGGCAGTGTCGCACGCTTTGGAGTCGATTACAGATTGTGCTTCGAGGTCGCACCGGGCACCAATCTACGAGCCTCTTGCAACGTGGCATGCTCACGACTGGTTTTCGACAGAAGCACCGAAAAGATGTGTCTGTCAGACTGCAGCCGATAGATGATTTGATCTGTCGGTGAGGTGACGGGCTCGACACCCGATGCCGAACTGTCAATTGTTCGGTCTTTGTCACCACATTGCATAGACGGTTCCTCAGATCGGCTGTAAAGTGCAGCGCAGTGCTTGTAGCATGTCAAGTTTACACAGGTCCGGCAACAGCTGGGCTATTCGAGAGACGGACGCTACCTGGCTCTGAACGTCAGCCCGTGGTTGACTCGTTCCTTAGATGCATTGGATCTTGGTTTGCGGAGACGGCGGCTGTGGAGAAGCCATGAGGTACACTGCGGGGAGGCGGCACAGCTTGTCCTGGTCTTGTGGCATCCGGTGGCTGTAGAGACCTGCGCAGGATTGACTGGAACTTTGTCGTCCGAGTGCTGCACTGAGAGCACCGGCTTGTGCGATCTTTTGGAAGTTGCTCATATTCGTAGCTGGCATGGACACTTGCACCGAGTCCCAGCTTGGGCTTCAACCTAGTGAAGACCAGCCTCTCGTGTGGTCACAGTGCCATGGCCACAGCGCAGTCGCAGTTTTCAAAGTTCTGTCGTGCGACAGACACTACGAAAGTTGAAAGGCCAAGATGTTTGTTGATCTGCAGCCTGGAGCTGGCGAAGTCGGCAGCGAGCCAAGCACGCTGTCCCGCACACCTGCTATCACTTGCCAATGGTTATGTATGAGGGGCGGAACTCCAGGTCCTGAGGATCGCAACCAGCACACTGAACCAACATGACGTAGCGGAGCACCTCGCAGAAATCGAGCCATGCAAGCTGGCCTGTCGCCCTAACCAGCGGCCATGTGACTAGGGCAGGCCGAGCCTGAATAATCAAACAGGATGCGGAACTTGACGAAAGCCCAAACTTGAAAACAAAGGCGAGTATGAGAAAGACAGTAAGCAAGCTGGAACGAAAGGAAGGGTAAATCAAGTCGGTGTGGTTGCTGTGCCACTTGGCTCCTAGGCTGTACCTTCAAGTACAAGCCTGTGAAAGGCGCGGTGCTTGGCTATGGGATCCTTGTCAGCCTTGTCCTGACGAGGTTTTTCCATGAAGGTTTCGCCTACACTTTCCCGACAGGGTGCAGCAGTGCAGTTGATCTGCACGAAGGCTTTCTGGGCTCTTTCGGGTCCTTGCCTTTGAATGCGCCGATGCCAGGCAAGCGCCGACGCCCTGACGAAGCTTCACTGGTCCCTGCAGGCCCAAAAAAGAGACTCAAAGAGACATTCAAAGACACCCCGCGCATCCCGCGCCCTGTTTGTTGGACTTGGCAGGTTCGAGCCCATGGCCTGGCCCTGCGACTGACGCTCTGCAGGTGAAGCGCAGCAGCGCAATGAAGTGCAGCCCGTCAGTGCACAAATCGCTCTGGTGACTTTTGAGGTGCGGCCTGCGATTCGTCTTTCCGCTGGAGCTGTGGTCTGAGGCCGTCACAGGATGTCCTGCCATGCGGAGTGCTGGATCTTCTCGCGTTTGAGGCGTCTGGTCCAGTCCCAGCTGCTGAGCTTGGCTTGGCGATGTTGCTTTGGGCTGTCCTGGCCTCAACTTGGAGCTCAGAGCCCGGCACCGCTGCAGCACGCGGTGTTCTGCCACTGCACTACAGCTTCGAAAGTGCTCACCCGGATTCATCAGGCCCCGCCCTTCGTGCTGCGGCTGCTGCATTCCAGTGTTGCGCTGATCTCCGCGCAGTTTTCCAAAGCGGGTGCCTGAATGCGTCGCCATGAATGGCATCAGCACCATCATGAAGTCCTTGTCCGAGTGTCCTTCCGAGCTACTGGTACCGGAATTCCGGCAGAAATCAAGCAACCTGTATGGGGGCAGAACGGGTATCACTTGCAACACCCACAAACTCAGCACGATTTGTAGTATGTAGTGGGACAGCTAGTAGTAGCCAGCGTAGGAACAACTGCACGGATCATTCGAGCCGAAGCCTTGACACCTCGAATCAGAGAGAAATCTCAAAGGTGTCGTAAAAACGAAGCAGTCAAGCCAGATACTCAGATATTAATATTTTTGAATCATGGGGCTGTCGGCCGCAGCCAGTAGTGGTTGGGGAGCTGATCTGTGCTGAAGGGCTGCCCTGCGGTGTCGTGGACGCCCGCTTATCTCACTGTGGCCTTCTCCAAACCACTGATACGGATTTCTGTGTTGAACCAGCTCGTCGAAAAGCTGCCGTTGTCGTGCAGCGAAAGTCCGGACATGACCATCGAAAGCGATTCGACTGAAGATTACCTGCGAAGGCAGCGCAGCAGGTCTGTATTGCAGCTAGTTTTTCATGAGCGCTGTGACCAATCGGTGATGATCCTTGCAGAATGAAGGAAGGAAGGCGCCGGAAACAGAACATCCTGGGAACCAGAGCAACACTGCCAATGATTTCGACCTTTCCTTCTGGAAAACCAGACTGGAAAAGCGGGACATGCGAACAGGGGTCACATCCGATTATGTCGCGTCCTGCATAATTGACACACATGAGCGGCACAGGGAGCGTAACGGTGTCATGTGGCAGCCCAGCCCAGCCAGCCCAGCCCAGCCCAGCCCAGCCCAGCCCAGCCCAGCCCAGCCCAGCCCAGCCAGCCCAGCCCAGCCCACCCCAGCCCCAGCCCCAGCCCCAGCCCCAGCCCCAGCCACGCCCAGCCAGCCCAGCCCAGCCCAGCCCAGCCCAGCCCAGCCCAGCCCAGCCCAGCTTGGCCCAGCCCAGCCCAGCCCAGATCAGAAGGCCCGACACGGATCAGTGCCGCCAACTGGAACACGGGAGCATAGAAGGACTAGATTCAGAAGGCCTTCGAGTCTCGTGTGTTTCTGTGAAAGAACTCATGCCTTGAGCCGCAACAAGGAAACTCAGACAGCTTGGAAAGCTGCTCTGCCATTTGTTTGGCCCGAAAACTACCCCATGAGCGGAAAAGAACTTACGGTTGAAAGTTTAATCTTTTAAGGTAGAGGCAGAAACGAATCAGAAGAGGTTCTGGAGTAGTGTTTGTTCAATCTTCGAAGCTAACGTGATGTTTTCTGGATGCCTTTTGGCAAGCTTGCCTTATGCTACTGTCCTGCTCCGATCGTACCGTTAATGATCTAGTACTTTTTGCTAATCTCTGCACGTCGGACCCTGTCACATGATCCATGTGCAGAAGGCCCTCGACCCAGTCCACGCCACAGCATCACCCATTACAAGCGAGCTGATTCATGGGCCTACCCACATGTGAGGCACCACGTATCGGCAAACCTGAGAAGGCTCGCAGCGACGGCACTTCCGAGTGCAGTTAGTTACGAAAATTCGTTCCGTGGCGAATATATGTCTGAGAAACCGCATAGGGCCAATTAGTCTCCGGGATCCCACGGAGTAGACTGTCTTGTCTGCATAACAACTACAATCAGTGATTATTTGCGTCTGACTCTGGCTGTTGCTTACAGCTTTGTTGCGCCGTCAATCTGATGCTTTGCCATTTACCTGATGCTACCACGACCGCATCAGGCTTTTGCCGCCCCACAGAAAGACGAGCCACCAGCAAACTCAGAGGAAGATGCTCATAAGGCCCGTCAGCTGTTGCCCCATGGTAGCGGCTAGCGATTTCAAAAGACTCCGTTCGGTCGTGGCAAGGCGGAAGCGTTCCGGCAACGAGCTTTCTTGACTGGTGAGGCAACGCGTCGGCGAAAGGAGGAGGAGGAAACACCGTGCCGTGCGTGCGTTTAACGGACCTCATTCTTGCTGGGTATTCACTGACAGGACATGAACGGTCTGGTCATATTGTCTGCGCATTACGGCTCGAAGGCTGCTATGCAGAATGGCCTGCCTCGCTCCAAGTTTTGCTTTCAGTCAACCGAACAAGTGCTTTGCTAACCTGGAATGTTTCAGGAAGCATGGCTTGTCGGAAACCAAAGGCGTGATTGACCGTGCCTCAGAGCTCACCTGGAATGCCGCACAGTTTGCCTGACGAGAACGAAAGATACCGAAAGGACGTGACGAACTGCCTCATGGCCAAAGTGCGACATTCACAGCTGCAAATTAGCGCGGCCGCCCCAGAATGGCATAGCATGGCACGGATGTGCACGGTACCTTGTCGTCGTTTCTGTGCTAAGAGCGCTCCGAAGTCGACGCTCCTGGGGTTCGGCCGGCCGGAGGCGCGCACGCCCACGCGCTCACGCAAACGCGCTCGTGCGAGCATCTGTTGCCGGTAGTTTGCTTTGCACTGGCGCTTCTCGCAAGGAGGACGGTGCAGACCCTGTCCTGCACATCAGCTACAGGTTCGGAGGCGCAGCTCCGTAACGGAATGGTAGACGAACCACTGTACCACAGTCATTCACAGTCTCCGTTTCTGCAAGTCGAACTGAGCAAAGCAGTCATAGCCATGAGCTTGCACAGCAATCCTTGGCACGATGCCGTCGAAACGGGAACGGGAGGGCCCAAGCACAGCGACATACAGAATCCTGACATCTTGCACAGACCCATACAGACCCCGAACAGACGAGTTAGGCTCAGTAGCTATTCCGTCCAATTCGATTCCAGCTCCTTGTAAAGAAGATGCTTTCTGTGCCTCCTTTTCAAGAATCATCGATCACCTGAGTCTTTGGCTGTTGTGCATCTGATGTCGGCTCGTGATTGCCAGGCGTGGACTTCAATCGCAGCTTCGGGGAGCACGATGTCGTGCTACTGCCATGAACAAATGATTCGCCACAGAGAGAGAGCGAGAGAGAGAGAGAGAGGGGGGAAACCCTCTGGCCCCTAACCCTGGCGAAAGAAAGAGAGAGAGAGAGAGAGAGAGAGTTTTGGCTCAAGGTGATCTATATCCTGTCGGGCGACATCGCGCTCATCGCAGTCTCGAAGAGGGGGGTCGGGGGGCTTG